TCTGCCTGGGAGATATTGAGAAAAGTTAAGGAATAAACCAATTATCTCCAGGCAGAGAGCACATAATTTCCCCAAAACTTAGAACACCCCTTTCCCCACAAGGTATCCCCACAAATTCCCCACAAGGTATTCCCCACATATCCCCTGATAGCCCCGATCTGGGGACAAACATATCCAAATTTCACCCAGATCGGTTCAGGGGTTCTGAAAAAGTGTGGAGGGTCCCTTTTACCGAAAAAATTTTGTTTTTTGCATTTTTCACACACAAACAAATATGAACGCTAAATTTGGCCAGTGTTTGTAACTAAGTGGCTACTAGAAAAGACTGGACATACCCCATTTGCAATTCCTTGGGTTGTCTACTTTTGCAAATGGGGGTAATTTTCATTCCTGGGATACCATACGCTCTCAAAGGCAACATAACCAATCTGGCAAATTTCAATGTGTATAAACTGAAAAATGTAACATGCTATATTTCACCCTGTAACTTCCCAAAACACCATAAAACCTGTACATAGGGAGTACTATTTTACACGTGAGACATCACTGAATACAAATATGTGTTCTTTATTGCAGTAACAGCTAACAGTATTGTGACATTCACAGTTAAAATGCTATGCAGAACTAATAAAAAATAACATTTATTTTCTAACACTTTTTTATATTAAATTAAGCTTATTATACAAATATTTGATGTGACATTAAAGCCCTGTTTCTCCTGAACAGAATTAGGCAGAACTACCAATTTTTTTTAATTTATTTTTTTAATTAAATTTCTCACAGTTTTTTTTACATTTTTTTATTCATATATGAATAGTTCATGAGGAATTAAAGCCATGTTTCTCCTGAACAGAATTATATATGATAAGTGTGGGTGCACATAATATGAAAGAGGTAAATTACGCCTGAACAGACATGTAGCGCAAATTCAAGTTTTTGTTTACGTTTTGTTTTGATCACAACGTGTACATTTGGCTCAGTCCTTAACCCCTTCAGGACGGAGTCAATAGTACACGTTGTGATCAAAACAAAACGTAAACAAAAACTGCAATTTGCTCTATATGTCTGTTCAACCGTAATTCACCTCTTTCATATTAAATGCACCCACAATTATTACATATCATTTTGTTCAGGAGAAACATGGCTTTAATTTCTCATGAGCTATTCATATATGAAACATAACTTATTATGAATAAAAATTAAAAATAAAAACTGGTGAGAAATGTAATTTAAAAAAAAAAAATTGGTAGTTCCGCCTGACATTTTAGCTGTAAATGTCATAATACTGTTGGCTTTTACTGCAAAAAAATACACATACAGTTGCAAGAAAAAGTATGTGAACCCTTTGGAATGATATGGATTTCTGCACAAATTGGTCATAAAATGTGATCTGATCATCATCTAAGTCACAACAACAGACAATCACAGTCTGCTTAACCCCTTAGGGACACATGACATGTGTGACATGTCATGATTCCCTTTTATTCCAGAAGTTTGGTCCTTAAGGGGTTAAACTAATAACACACAAAGAATGAAATGTTGCCATGTTTTTTTGAACACACCATGTAAACATTCACAGTGCCGGTGGAAAAAGAATGTGAACCCTTGGATTTAATAACTGGTTGAACCTCCTTTGGCAGCAATAACTTCAACCAAACGTTTCCTGTAGTTGTAGATCAGACGTGCACAACGGTCAGGAGTAATTCTTGACCATTCCTCTTTACAGAACTGTTTCAGTTCAGCAATATTCTTGGGATGTCTGGTGTGAATCGCTTTCTTGAGGTCATGCCAGAGCATCTCAATCGGGTTGAGGTCAGGACTCTGACTGGGCCACTTCAGAAGGTGTATTTTCTTCTGTTTAAGTCATTCTGTTGTTGATTTACTTCTATGCTTTGGGTCATTGTCCTGTTGCAACACCCATCTTCTGTTGAGCTTCAGCTGGTAGACAGATGGCCTTAAGTTCTCCTGCAAAATGTCTTGATAAACTTGGGAATTCATTTTTCCTTCGATGATAGTAATCCGTCCAGGCCCTGACGCAGCAAAGCAGCCCCAAACCATGATGCCCCCACCACCATACTTCACAGTTGGGATGAGGTTTTGATGTTGGTGTGCTGTGCCTTTTTTTCGCCACACATAGTGTTGTGTGCTTCTTCCAAACAACTCAACTTTGGTTTCATCTGTCCACAGAATATTTTGCCAGTCCTGCTGTGGAACATCCAGGTGCTCTTGTGCAAACTGTAAACGTGCAGCAATGTTTTGTTTGGACAGCAGTGGCTTCCTCTGTGGTATCCTCCCATGAAATCCATTCTTGTTTAGTGTTTTACGTATTGTAGATTCGCTAACAGGGATGTTAGCATTTGCCAGTGACTTTTGTAAGTCTTTAGCTGACACTCTAGGATTCTTCTTCACCTCATTGAGCAGTCTGCGCTGTGCTCTTGCAGTAATCTTTACAGGACAGCCACTCCTATGGAGAGTAGCAGCAGTGCTGAATTTTCTCCATTTATCAATAATTTGTCTTACCGTGGACTGATGAACAGCAAGGCTTTTGGAGATACTTTTATAACCCTTTCCAGCTTTATGCAAGTCAACAATTCTTAATCGTAGATCTTCTGAGAGCTCTTTTGTGCAAAGCCTCATTCACATCAGGCACCTACATACAACCAATCCTGGGACTACCTACTCATCTGATGAGAACATCTACTTAACTGGTAATTATGCTGGTTTTATTTAATTAATCTAACTTAATGAAAAATCTAATAGCATGATATGACTGGATAAATCACGGTCAGATTTCAATATTTAGAAATCTTAGTTAACTAAAGAATCTATAGCTATAAACATTCCATTCTGCAGGTGGAATTAAGAATAATGATATATTAACCCCTTAAGGACGGAGCCAAATGTACACATTGTGAACAAAACAAAATGTAAACAAAACCTGGCATTTGCGCTACATGTCTGTCCAACCGTAATACACCTCTTTCATAGTAAATGCACCCACCCTTATTATATATCATTTTATTCAGGGAAAACAGGGCTTTCATTTAATATCAAATATTTAGCTATGAAACATAATTTAATATGAAAAAAATGGGAGAAAATACGATTTTTTTGATTTTTTTAGTTCTAAATTGCATTTTAAAGGTCAGTGTCATAATACTGTTTGATTTTACTGCAATAAAATACACATATTTGTATTTAGTAAAGTCTCACGTGTAAGACAGTACCCCCTATGTACAGGTTTTATGGCGTTTTGGGAAGTTACAGGGTCAAATATAGCACGTTACATTTGAAATTGAAATTCGCCAGATTGGTTACGTTGCCTTTGAGACTGTATAGTAGCCCGGGAATGAAATTTACACCCATAATGGCATACCATTTGCAATAGTAGACAACCCAAGGTATTGCAAATGGGGTATGTCCAGTCTTTTTTAGTAGCCATTTGGTCACAAACACTGGCCAAAGTTAGCGTTAGTATTTGTTTGTGAAAAATGCAAAAACGCCAATTTTGGCCAGTGTTTGTGACTAAGTGGCTACTAAAAAAGACTGGACATACCCTGTTTGCAATACCTTGGGTTGTCTACTACTGCAAATGGTATGCCATCATAGGGTAATTTTCATTCTTGGGCTACCATAGGGTCTCAAAGGCAACGTAACCAATCTGGCTAATTTTAATGTGAAAAAAATGAAACGCAAGCCTTATATTTGACGCTGTAACTTTTGAAAACACCATAAAACCTGTACATGAGGGGTACTGTTGTACTCGGGAGACTTCGCTGAACACAAATATTTGTGTTTCAAAACAGTAAAAAGTATCACAGCAATAATATTGTCCGTGTAATGCTGTTTGTGCATGAAAAATGCAAAAAACTTCACTTTTACTGGCATATCATCGTTGTAATACATTTTACGTTTTGAAACACTAATATTTGTGTTCAGCGAAGTCTCCCGAGTAGAACAGTACCCCCATGTACAGGTTTTATGGTGTCTCGGAAAGTTATAGGGTTAAATATAGTGCTAGCAAATTAAATTCCCTTTACTTTCGGCATGGGTTGTCAGGCAGGTCCTGCTAATTGTAATTAATTAAGATACCTAATTATGTAAAAATATTACATAAATATATATGTAGAATTAATATATGTATATATATACGTATGTGTATATATATGTATATATCTATATAATTTTTTTTAAATATTTTTATTTATATATAGGTATATATATAGTGATATATACGTATATATTTATGTATATAGATATATATATATTTCGTTCTACGTGTATTTTGATATATATATATATATAAATTTCACAAAACAGTTAGAACGAAATAACACACATCTATATATTTTTTAATTATTTATTTTTAATTATTTTTTAATTTTATTTTTTAACGTATTTACATTTTTATTTTTTTATATTATATATAAATATATATATACAATAATTATATATATATTTAATCAGTATCAGTCTACGTGTAATTTGATATTAATATATATATATAATTATATATATATTAATAGTAAAATACACCTAGACGGTGTATGTGTGTGTATGTATATGTGTATATATATATTTAGATCATATATATATAATATATATATATGATCTAAGTATATATAATTATTTTTTTTTACACCATTAACTTATTTTACTTTTATTTTCAGCCAGCAGGGGGACCACCTGTCATTACAGGCAGCCCCCCTGCCGGCAATACAGAAGCCAGCTATACCCGGCCATGTGATTGTGGGGTCCTCGCTAGGACCCCACTCTCACATGGCCAGGGGCTTCAACGAGGACGGATGTGCCGCGGGGGCTCCCTGGGAATCCCCCCAACCGCGATCGCCGGCGTGGGACCGCCGGCGACCGGGTAAGTTAACAAAAACCGGAGGGCGTACAATTACGCCCGGCGGCGTTTAGAGCCGCCTATTAGAGGGCGTAATTGTACGTCCTCCGGTTTTAAGGGGTTAATGTGATATCACGTGTTAGCATACCGATGTTTTTATCCAGGTGTATTGATTTGCTCTTAATAAGATAAGATATCTTTTTAGGCAAATTAAAATTCGGCTTATAGAATCTGGTAGATTATTCTTATTGGATGGTTCCAGGAAATGATTAATGAGCTGGTTTAAATGTTATTTTATTTGAAAATTACATAAGAATAGGATATTAAATGCCGAAGAGGATCTAGCCAGCATTGAAAGGGTTACTCAGTTAACTGTTAGCCAAGGATTTTACGACCCTTCGCTGCACTGTGTGAAGTTTTGCTTTCTGTCTAAAGTACCTCATAAATCTTGTCTTGACAATTGATGCTGTTAGCCATTGGAACGTGTTTTAACATAGCCATTGTATTGCATACTCATGTTATACTAAATATTAACTGATTATTATCATGCATGTTGCCTAATATTATTATTATTTGTCACAATAAATGATATCTATTTTTATAACAAATTGTGATTTTATTTGTATGGTATACATTTCACTTACATGATAACGATTTCTAAGATCTGAGAGAATTGAAATAGTGGGCAATTCTCGACTGTTTAATATTATCATCCCATAAATATCCCCACAAGATTAGCCTACTATCGATATTCGCAGATACTCTGTGCTGGTTATGATAACATATCCAGAAGCCTTACAGTCATGCACTATCTAGAAGACTTCTTGTTGATCAAATATAACATATTTTTCACTAGAAGCCTCACGGCAGCTTAGTCAAGTTGACCACTTGGGCGTCCCAGTACCCCATAAGAAACAGAAGGCCCAGACACTATCTTCACATTACTGGGCATATGACTTGAGTCGGCATCCATACACCCAAGTTACCACAAGACAAATAGGGAACATTCTCAACAACATCAATCACTACCTCCTGCTTAGTACTTACAACTGCAAGGAACTTCAATCCCTACCAGGTTCCTTAATTTTGCCATGCCAATCATACCACAAGACCACGCTTTCACATCCAGAGTACTTTCCCCTTTTTTCCACACTTGCAACATGACGATCAGAGGATATCCCTAGACACCCCAGCAACAGCAGACCTGCACATGGGGAGGGATTTCTTAACCACTTGGCATGGTAAAAGCATGTTCCTTCCAGGATTGTCTGACACTTCTCCAACCAGATGGTCAGACGCGGCGTCTACCACGGGTTTGGCAGCGATCTACCGGGAGCGATTGCTTTGGAGCTGTTGGCCATGGCATCCAGGTTTGGAAATTTTTCCACCACCTCAGCCCCTTTGGGGGATCTACCCCATTGTAGCATCTGCTGTGGCATGGGGTAAATCATGGTCAGGATCATCAATCCGTTGTTACTCAGACAACTAAGCACATGTCATATCGTCAACAAATGTCACTACTCATCCATAAGGTCATGATAATTCTGGGGAACTCACTTGGTTGGCAACTTATCACATTTCTTTTACGTTCATGTACCAGGCGGGGGTATACATCCCTGCCGACAATTGTCTCATTTATATTCCAGGCATGTTCATCATACGCTTCCTACAGCCGCCCATACAGTCACGGACACTCTTTTGTTCCAGAGACAAAATCATAGATTAGACATACTCATGCAGCATAGCATGCACTATCCCACCTAGCACTTTCGTCCCATACTTTTAGAATGCATAACACAGCTTTTCACCTGTCTTAAAGACTCTCATTGGAACACGACATAGCTCAACCTGTGTCATAACATTTCTCCTAGGTTTTGTTTCTTTTTGCCGCCTTAAACTTAAAATGACAATTAAAATCCATTCCCCCACGTTCCTCTCAGAGATTACCAATAGCCATCCAACTTTTCATCCTTATTGGAACTATTAGATCTACAACCATTCAATTATACTACCAAGTCGGCCATTACCAGCCATGCACATTGCCTTCTATGCCTTTCTCAGGCCAGAGAATCCACTACCATCACCACCACTTAGACAGATCATTGTCTTCAACGATCCCACGTACGTAAACACATAGATCACTACCTATTGGCTCTACCACATTCCGAAACGAGTCAACACGCACCAACAGTAGAGATAACATACTATTCTACCCACAACAAATGTTGTCCACTTTCGGTCCTAGATTCCTACCTTCAAAATCCTTCCAGGAATTACTGTAATGCATTTAAGGAAATGGTTAATTTGTATATATTTGTTGACTGTATTAAATCTTTGATTATTCATTTTTGCCCTCTTTATTTACAGGCCTACCATATCGTCTGTCTCGGCACACCACAACCGACTTGCTCCCTTTATACTATCCTACGTCTATGCTGGATCCTTACTCCATATACGACTATTTGCCCCTTACACAAATATATATATATATATATATATATATATATATATCTCAAAATACAGTTAGAATGAAATTACAAATGTGTATATATAATTTATTTTATTTTTAAATGTTTTATTTATTTATTATTGTAATTATACGTGTGTATATATAAATATAAAATATATATATATAAATTATATCCATAAATACAATACCGCACTCAAAAAAAAGGTAAGAATCAATTAATATATATGCCAAGAAAATTAATTTATTATACAGAAACTATATATAAATTCAGGAGTGAGTAATGAGTAGTGATTTCCTTATAAATTCATCAATTTAAACAATTTCATCGTATATATATCCCAATATATATACAATTATTTACAGTCTGTGTACATGTGAAGAATGGAGTTCAATAGTTCATAGATGTTTTCAGGTGGATCCACCACTAAGTAGTTTTGTATGAGTGAAAAAAACTGTAAAAACAGAAGAAAAAATATAGGGAGAAAAATAATATATATAAAAAAAAATATATAGCTATATGCCAAAATAAACAGTCCAATTGCATGTAATGAGAAAATGAAAAAATGATGTGAATCAGAAAAATAAAAAATAAAAAAAATAATTATGATCAAACAAAAGTAAATGCAAAAAAAGAGTATAGTTTCTGTATAATAAATTAATTTTCTTGGCATATATATTAATTGATTCTTACTTTTTTTTGAGTGCGGTATTGTATTTATGGATATAATTTGTGCATTTTTTTGAGGTTGTTATGGGAAACTCCTCCAATACCAGCACCATTTAGTAGCAGAGTGCCAACACACATTGAAGTTTTTTTGTTATATGTATATATGTAACGTCATTCTAAGTGTATTTTAAAACTAATATATGTACTTATATTAACATAAAAATATACTATGTATGACATTACACACACACACACACATATATAATATAATATAATATATATATACACATTTATTTTATTTTAAACTTGTCTAATATTTATTTTTATTTTTTTTATTTTTTTTTTTTACACTAAACACCAGCAGGGGGACTGTCTGACATTTCAGACAGTCCCCCTGCTGGCAGATCCACAGCCAGCTATAGGGGGCCATGTGAGCGATCACATGATCCCCGGGGGCCTGATTTGCTGTGGGAGGGCTGCCTGGGCGGTCAGGCAGTCCTCCCGAAGAGGATTGCGGTGGAGGTTTATAAAGCCCATTATAATGGGGATGGCATAGTAAGGGGTTAATACATGTTTATGTGCAGGATTACATTGTAGTGAAGAGATCTGACGATCCTACAGTACAGAGAAGCAGTCCCTGTGTGTTTAGAGGATCCTGCAAGACCCAGAGCTCCAACACGGTGTGTCCATCTCACTCACTGATACAGGACGGAAACAATGAGCAGAACATCCTGGAACTGACCAATCAGATCATCCACCTGCTGACTGGAGAGGTGAGGCTGCTGGGAATGGGACATCATAGAGTAAAACCAAGGGATGTGTCTGGATGGTGACTGGATAAAGATGTTGGGATCTCACTGTCTGTTATTTCTTGTAGGTTTGGAAGCATTTAAAAGGGCAAAAGGAAACTTACAAGGAAGTGATGATGGAGAGTCACCACCCCCTCATCTCCTTGGGTGAGCCAAAGTTTAATCAGCATTTTTGTTTGGTTATAGAGCAGATATCATTCACTTATATCATCAAACACCCGGTACACAGTATGAGATTCGTATAGTTATTACAGTTATTTGAAAACTGCAGGAACAAAATGTTAGATCTCGACTTTGCCCAATTGCAAACCCCTTGAATAATAGATAACAAGGTACATCCTCAAGTTACCTAAATGTTTTAACATATATAAATACAAAATTACCAAACTTGTTGTTTGCTCCAGTTTGAGATTTCTTACCAATCTCATAAGCCCCTTGCGAGTGCCTTACTGGTTGAGTAACTCCACGCCACAACCCCGAAACACTGTGCCGCTTAGCTGCGACATGTCTCAGCTTACTGTAGATGAGCTGCCATCTATCTTAAATTTCCTCCAAGTTGCAATCCCTTGTGTAGCGGAGCTGTAAAAATGCAATCCAAAATCTCCGCTGGGATTCACTGACCCTGGAAAGGAATCGCTGTTTAGCAGATATAGCCTATTCCCCCAGTAACTGGATGACACATAATTCTGGGAGTCAACTTAACTTTATTTCACCACACATGGCTTTTATGCACTGACCCCTACATGGGGTCTCTCATACAACATTACAGGGGTTTCCCTCCCAAGATCTTCTGTACCTGAGAGATAACTGCGTGAGAAAATACTTTAATTATCTCTTGGGTACAGAAAAATCTACAATAATTCCAAACACCCCACAAACACATTTAATATTTCCGAACCCCGTGAAAGTTACAAAACCGATTAGCTGGGATCTGAGCGCCTACAAAATATTACTCAGATCCCTTCATTGGTTTCTTTCCCTTAATGCAGCTACAGGAGTGCAGTGGGTGGGAAGGCAAAAAAAAGACAAGTGCCGATACGCAAGGTAGAGGTATGAGACTCCCACTGCGTCTCTCATCTGGGGGAGGTGACATGGCAAGGGTGCATAATATTTTAGTCTAAACGCGGATGGGGTAACTCCTGATACCATTGTGCTGTTTTCATACAATGGGCCTCCCATCTTATAAAGAAACACCAGATGAACTCGTTAACATGCTATGAAAAGATTGCCCAGCTTTCGTTACAAAACAAAACCCTCCTATCTCCAGAAATAGCGGCTCAGCTACACACCTGGTACCAACAACTACACTCCCTCAATGCTGTCCAAACAAACAAGATCCTCCATAGGTTGAAAGCTACTACCTACCATACCAGTGGCAAAGCTAATAGATCCTTAGCTAACAGGCTACAGGATACATTTTTATGCTCTAGAATAGCACATATACAAGATGACCATGGCAACGTGAAACACGGGCCTCTGTATGTATTAATTGTTGTGGGTGCCTCCCTTGCATGGGGAATCCCATAAAAGCAGGGGTTGTGTGATTAAACTCAGATTCTGCTTTTTTTAGTCCCACACCTTCTCAAAGTGTATAAGGCAGCGGCAACCACAGGGGTACAACTACCTGATATACTCTTAGCTATGATAGCAACTATTCCAAAACCAGATAAAACAACTACCAACTGCAAACATTTCAGACCAATCTCGCTCCTAAACACTGATGCTACGATATATTTCAAGGTCTTGGTGAATAGACTAGCCCCCTTACTATCCTCCCAAATTAAAGAGGACCAAATTGGATTCGTTCACGGACGACAGGGCCTAGACAACACCCGCAAACTAGCCCTACTGCTGCGGCATATCCGAAGGCCAGCCCAGGCTGTCTGCTTCTCGCACTGGATGCGGAGAAGGCTTTTGACCGACTGGGCTGGCCCTTCCTGAGACAAGTGCCACACTCGTACGGCTTCTCCCCTCATTAATAAATCAAATATTTGCTTTATACTCCCACCTAACTGCCCATGTGATGCAGGCGGGATTCCTATCGACTCCCTTTACTATAACAAATGGAACAAGATGGTGGTGCCCTTATCCCCTCTGCTCTTTTGTATTGACACTCGAACCCTTACTAGAATATATAAGGACCCATCCCAACATTGCTGGAGTGCGAATTGGGCAGAAGGAACTAAAGGTCAGTGCTTTTGCAGATGACATCCTACTATACATCACAAAACCACAAGAGTCCCTACTCCGATTAATGGATCTAATCCAACAGTATGGAACAGATTCCTACTATTCTATTAACACCTCTAAAAAGCAGGCTATGTGTGTAGGTATTCCCATAACAGTTAGTGAGTCTCTCCGACAAACTTACTCTTTTGAATGGCGGACGACTAGTGTAAAATACCTTGGAATTATGTTAACAAAAATTGTTTCAGACCTGTATTCCCCAAACTATATTAAATTGTGGAACGACTGTAGGCACCTGCTCCATAGGTGGAGACCTCTGTTCCTCACATGTGTGGAGAGAATGGCTGCTTTTAAGATGTCCATTATACCATGGTTGCAATACCTCTTCCATACATTACCAATTCCGCTCCGAACGCTTACTTCAAACCGATTCAAACAGAACTAATCAAATTTGTTTCGGCTGGTGAGAGATCACGGTTGGCAACAAAACTAGTGCAAGCTCCTAAGTTTCAAGGAGGTCTCGCTACAATATACACAAATACTACCATGCATCATTGTTAGCTGCAGCTATACCACACCTAATAGCAGCAGTGCCCCCCCAGTGGGCTCATCTAGAACAACACAGCATACTTGCTCACGAGGTCCACAATCTCATCTGGCTTCCTGAACATTTGCGCCCAGCCGCTTCCTTATGTCCCCCCCTTGATTGCCTTGACACTTGTCAGTATATTTATATCGGCAGACATTTTGTGTTAAGACAGAAATTAAAACTGTATACTGCCAGTCACCCTCAGAACAGAGGTGACTCCATTTTGTATTACAAGGCTAAGATAGACACAAGATTTCCCTCTGTGGCGAAACCAACCTCGCCACTGTGAACTGGAGAAGCCTGGTTGCTCGCCTGCTCCCTTTGGACTATGGCCCTGCAGGTTAAACCATTTATTTTCCCTGCAGAAAGGCTTATTCGTGTGATCTGAGTGCCATTCATCTAATAATGTGCGCTCAGATCAGATCAAAGCTATCTGGGGATGTGTAGAAATGTGTGTTTTATGTACTAAATGTATCAGTATGTAATTTTATGTCTTTTACTGTCTTTTTGTCTGCCATGTGGGTAATGGAGTTTTGCGTCTGTCCTGGGAAATAATTAGATTCCTTCCCCAATTATCTCCAGGCTAGAGGGGAGGGATTGTGAGGCATTGTGGGAGGTAACTCATGTGTGATTGGTGTATTGTGTAATTGGTGTAAATCCCTCCCTTGCATGGGAGAATCCTTTATAAGCCTGTTGTGTGAATAAATCAGAGTTGTTCCGGTTTAACCCTCCAAGTGAAGTGTCGTC